TTGATATCCACGCTTTTGTCTATACCCTGTCTTTCTCTAAGGACGGTACGCTTCTCCAGACAAACCGTGGGTCTCTGCCTATACCAGCAGAGCTTCTTCCACCTGATACAGCCACGAATCGTCTCCCTCTTTCCCCCTCTGTTTTTGTCAAGGACCAGTGGGTGCACCAACATACTAAGCGTATCCTTTGGCTTCCTCCCGATCATCGGTCATCCTGCATTGCCGTTCATGAGGGCATTGTTGGTTTTGGGTACATGTCTGGGAGAGTAATGCTGATAGAGTTCGCTTTTTGATGTCTTATGCTTACTTTCTTTTCTCACTCTACGACCTAACGATCAGTTTCCTTACATAGCCAGAGCCACGAACTTGAACAGTTTAACGTTATCAACACATCAAGACCTTCACGTATTCTGCGTACCTGCACTGTTGCTCCCCGTTACCTGTAGATGATTAATATAGTTGATAAAGGGCTATGTCAAAAGCTAAGCAGGTAGCGGCCGTTGACCTCAGCCCTGCTCCCAATCCAGGAGCTCTGATTTTCCAGAGTACTTGGCAGCGGCGTCGCGTAGCCACAGCCACAGACCGATCAGTCATCATAGGTACGTTACACGGCAAGCGTAAGGCTAGATCTGCAAGTCATCACGCACCAGCCAGGTTCGGATGCTACTTCTGCAGGAAGTGCCGATCAGCAGATCAGTCCTGCATAAATTAAGCTCCCCGTCAATGGGTTCCGGCGGAAGCGAACCGCCGGTCCGAGCTAATGTGCGATGATATGTATGTCCTAAGTTACATCTGCGTATCTTTACCGTAGGATTTGTGGCTGTGCGGATTACGTCAATTTTCGGATTATCGTTTGATCCAGGATTGGAGGCAGTGATAAAGCCTGGCCAGGTGTTTGTGTAATTTACATTACTTAGACAGCATACGCTAAGCCTTGTAGGTCGAGTGTCAAGTCGTCTGCCAAGAGCTGTTGAGGGCCTCTCCAGCCGGATAAATCCGGACTACATTCCTGGATTATAGATTATCTTTTGATTGCCCGCAAGGCTTTTATAGATAGTTGAAGACTATTTTAGCTGCACCGATAGGCATGAATGATAGACGCATACATTGTTATATGGCTTTAGAACAGGCGAGGTTGTACAGGTATGTGACGAAAAGATCGACAGCATGGTGATAATTCATGTAATTTTCTATATTTCTACTGGCTGTAGAAGTAGACATACTTGATCGACACCTTGAAACTTAAATCACCCTAATTCCACTAGATTTGAGGATCCAGTCTGACTATTTGTAGAATCCTTTTCGGCATGGCGGGTTTTTCGTTACGCAGGGACGGACGTTAGCACCTTACTTCCAGCAGATCCACATTTGCGAAGCAGAAAGGACTTTCCGAAAGCAGTGTCATTCTACTGCTCGTGCAGCCCTGATACGTATTATTTGAGACTTTCTAGGCTTGTAATCATACTCTAGCCACTTAGACGTCACTATCAGCTCTACTTCTAGTGCAGCACGGAGATTTGTGCAGAATTGCCACCGCGCGTAGTACTTGGGAGCGAAGCAGGTACTGTTTATAGCTAGCGTGTTTGCTATGTCAGCTGTTTGAGGAACATAACTTACGTTGCAAAGTTGCAAACAGGACAAACAGGATCTTGCTTCGCGGTGGAAGTTTCTGGAACTATTCCATTCTGGCACAGCGTTTAGCCACAAATGGCAAAAGCGCTTTGGGTTCCGTAGCGCACGGAGCAAGCAAGGTCTGGTGTTATCGATAAGGTGCGGCGTAAGTCGATGCAGCTCATCTGCACCTGTTCAGCCTCAGCCTGATTGCTATCCATCAGCCCTTCTGCCTGCATCATGTCGCCATCACTCTCCACTACTCTTCCATACGGCTATCCTTTGGGCTGTGTTATTCCCAGATGGATCCGCTTAGTGTGACAGCCAGCATCATCGCTATCCTCCAGCTCTCAACCAAAGTTCTCGCGTACTTGAACGACGTCAAAGATGCCTCGAAAGACCGCACACAGTGCGCTGTCGAGATCTCGAATCTATACAACCTACTTTTCAACCTTAGAGCTCGGCTTGAGACGGGGGATCCTGAGAAATCATGGTTTACTGCCCTTCGAGGCCTTGCAGTTGAAAATGGGCCGTTCGATCAGTTCAAGGAAGCGCTTGAAACGTTGCAGACCAAGATGACAGACAGTGGCCGATTAGGGAGGGCGGGTGAAGTGCTGGTGTGGAAGTTCAAGAAAGAAGAGATTGCAAGTATTTTGGGTCGGATGGAGCGTCTAAAGTCGCTTGTGGAGATCGCGCTACAAATGGACCATTTGTAGGCTTCCACCACCGACGCCGCTGAACTGCATTGCTAATATGAACCAGCAAAATCTCGGAAGCCATCAAAAGCGACACCGACTTCGTGCGGGCCCAGGTGCCTGGTATAAAGTCTGGAGTGGAGAAGATACAGCAAGATCAGAATTCCGCAAAGTACCGTCAGGTGGTGGAATGGGTATCCCCCTCGGATTACCCGGCTCAACAATCCGACATCATAAAGCGCAGGCAGGAAGGAACAGGCCAGTGGTTTTTGGACGCGCCTGAGACGGCAAGATGGCTCACCGAAGCCAACGGAACCCTCTTCTGCCCTGGAATTCCAGGAGCAGGCAAGACCATGATAGCCGCCATCGCAATTGACCACCTGTCAAAATCCGCGCAGAACAGCTCGCATGGACTTGCTTATGTGTACTGCAACTACAAATCTCAAGAGGAGCAGGATGCTGTCAGTATGCTGGCGGCCATTCTAAAGGAGCTGGTGCAGGCTCATCCGTCGGCTGTGGATCCCGTAGAACGATTACACAAGCAGCATGCTAACAAGGGGACTAGGCCGTCACTTGACGAAATCTGCAGCGCTCTCCAAGATGTGCTAGCACGTTTCTCTACAGCCTATATAGTGATCGACGCTCTAGACGAATGTCGAGGGAGTGACGGCACGCGTCGTACGTTTCTTGCCAAACTCCGAGCCCTACAAGCAGGACGAGACATTCGCCTCATGGCCACCTCGCGGTTCATACCAGAGATTGAAGATGGATTTCGAGATGCAATGAAGTTGGAGATCCAGGCTAGTGAAGAAGATGTGAAGCGTTACGTGGCAGGCCAGATATATCGACTTCACAAATGCATTCAACGTAGCGATGAGCTGCAAGACATGGTGCAAACGAAGATCGTAGAGGCGGTAGACGGCATGTATGTCTCTTATCTTATTGTATAAATCCAGGCGGTCTTATTAAATGCTAGGTTCCTTCTTGCTCGACTGCACATAGATTCACTGTCAGATAAGAGAAACCCAAGAGAGGTCAAAACAACTCTGGCTAAGTTTGCCAAAGGCTCAACCGCACTCGATGATGCGTACAAAGATGCGTTGGCCAGAATTAACGGGCAACTAGAAGGTGACCGGGAACGAGCCAAAAAAGTTCTATCATGGATCACATTCGCGAAAAGGCCGCTTACCACAGTTGAGATTTGCTGCGCTTTGGCGATAGAACCTGAGGATACAGAGCGTGACCCCGAGGGCATATGCGATGTCGAGGACTTGGTATCTGTGTGTGCCGGTCTTGTTGTCGTCGATCGCGAGAGTTCTATCGTCCGTCTTGTGCACTACACCACACAAGACTATTTCGAACGGATCAAGGATACATGGAATCCAGCAGCACAACAGCAGATTGCTACCACATGCCTCACGTACCTGTCTTTCGACGCTTTCAGGAGCGGGAGGTGTCATACAGATGATGAATTCAAACATAGGCTTGCTAATTATAAGTTCTTAGACTATGCAGCGAAGCATGGGGGCGACCACGTAAGAGCAGTTGAAGCTGAAGTGTGCCAGCTTGCCTGTTCTTTTCTTCTGGACCCTGGGTTGCTTGCATGCGCTGCACAGGTGCTGCTATGTCCAAAATGGAAATCCTCAAGATATAGCCGAGACTATCCTACAATCACAGGCTTGCACTACACGGCACAATTTGGGTTATCCAGCATCACACAGGAGCTGTTGCTCGCATCAGAAGATCCCACTAAACTCGTTAATGCAGAGGACAGGTGGGGCGACGCTCCTTTAGCAATTGCTGGCACACATGGACATGACGAGATTATTGGCCTCCTGCTTGACAAGGGTGCCAACCCGAACGCGCAGGGTGGAGACTGCGGCAACGCACTCCAGGCGGCTTCATTCGGAGGCCACGCGCAGGTGGTGAAGCTACTGCTTGACAAGGACGCCGACCCGAACGCGCAGGGTGGATTCTACGGCAACGCACTCTACGCGGCTTCAGAAGAAGGCCACGAGCAGGTGGTAAAGCTGCTGCTCGACAAAGACGCCGACCCGAACGTGCAGGGTGGAGAATACGGCAACCCACTGCAGGCGGCTTCATACAGAGGCTACGAGCAGGTAGTAAAGCTGCTACTCAACAAGGGCGCCAATCCGAACGCGCAGGGTGGATACCACGGCAACGCACTGCAGGCGGCTTCATCCAGAGGCCACGAGCAGGTGGTAAAGCTGCTGCTCGACAAGAACGCCGACCTAAACGCGCAGGGTGGAGCGTACGGCAACGCACTC